CATGGTGTTTGAGAAACGGATGACCGAGATACAGTCTTTCAGAAGCATTAACTCTTTACTCTGGGTGGACCGTTACACCTACTTTCCCCTACATCTGCTAGCCCACCACTGAAAGAGCTCACGCAACATACTAAACTATGGCAGCGCCCATAATGGCTTGTGGCTGCACACGGAAGTTTCTAGCATGAATATTCTGATGATCCCTTTGAGCCTGGGTGGCGGTCCATAAAGAAAAACAGGCAATCGCTGGAATACCCAGGTGCCTTAATCCACCCAGATGTGTATTAAAGTTGCCACCTTAAATAAACCATTAATTAACAATCTCACATCTGTCATGGATTCACTCACCCAATCCACGTCTACTAGCATAGCATGGCATAATAAGCAAACGTAGAGTAACTCTCAAGGGTTTGATAATAAAACAGGTAATAGGTACTACATCATCTACTTCCCAAAACCCACATATTAATCAGATCCTAATCATGCAATTGTTTGAGGGTTGATCTAATGCAATAAAACTGGGTAGTAAAGAGGTATGATCAAAGTGTTACTTGCCTTGCTGATGATCCGTGAAACCTAGAGATTCGAAGTAGCAAGCGGCACACTCCGGGTACTCTATCGCAAACAAACAAGCATACAATAAGTACTCATCTAATGCACATGTAAAACTCAAATAAGAGAACTAACCAGAAAGTTCAACTTAAAAACTCCGGTTTGCAAAAAGAATCAAATTAAACGAAGCAACGAAAGTCAAAAGGCGAAAGAAAGAAGCTTCGTTTACTAATCTGGACCTAAGTCAAATTTTACAGAAGCAAAAACTTGTTTGAGTTGGTTAAACGGAAAGAGGGTTTCGAGATGAAACTCTAGGCGCTTGAATCGCCTGATTCCGATAAACGAGCGAAAAGTTATACTAGAACGAAAATCGGATCAGAAATCGCGATCAGAAATAACCGCGGAAAATCCGAGAAAAAGAAAAACTGACGAACAGATTAACGAACGAACGTTCGTTAACTGTGACTAAACAGTGAACTCGTCTGTCAAAACGAATGAACGGGCGAACGTTCGCTAAATAAATAAACCGGAAAAACCAATTTATATAAAAAATGAAACTAGGGTTTCTTAAAAAAACGGGTCGGGTTTTAAAAAAACGGACCACGGCGGCGGCGGCGGCTATACCTCCGGCTTGGCTCCGGAGGGGCGACGGGACGGCGCGGGGTGGCGGGGCTGCGGCGGCGGTGGCTCCTGGCGGCGGCGCTAGGCGGCGGGGCTGGGACGGGGC